AAGCGGCAACTTAACGTCACAGCGGGCATAAGAACAGCCGGTGTTTCTTGTGAGTGTTTCCCCGGGAAACAAACACAATACACACAAACGCGTCACAGATTATTTTTGCGGTATTTGGCTGTATGTACGCACCTCTCGACGTAACTAGGAGTCTAGTGGACGGTATCAGTACTACAAGTAAACAAATAATTACGTTGTTTATAAATTAATCTGAGGGCCGCAAAAAGAGGAGGTGGGCCGCCATTTGCCCATCCCTGATGTAGCACAAGGGCAGACTCCCTTTGTTGTTTTGAGAATGTGATGCATTTAAAATATTGCAGGGTTTATACATGACATTGTCTAAAGTATTGCTAAACATTACATCCTTACAGTATAAGACCTTTTTTTAAAGTAGGCATGAGGTCATTATAAAGTCATCAACTTTTCTGAGTCACAACCACTTTTTTCCCACTCAGCAACTCGAGGAACAGTGAGGTCGACAAGGAGGTTGGTGATAAGATCCGTCTCACAGCCATCCCAGTTTATCCCATAGGTGTTGAGTGGGGATGATATGAAGGCTCTGTGCAGGCTTGTCAAGTTCACACTAGAAAAAACACTGCTTTAAGAATTTGGCACTGTCGTGCTGAGAAAGGAAGACTGTTGGACAGCCCAATGCTGTATACTTAAGTATTAAGTATATTACCATAGACAAATACATAGATAGGGAACATTTGTGTAAAATAAATAAAGAGATAAGTTAAAGTCTTAATGAGTACCAAGTTAAATGCTTGAACCGGAAAGGCTGTTAGGCTGCTAATTGTCATGTATAGCCATATTTCCAGCATTTACTCAATTCAACGGTTTTGTGATGCATACTATATTAATGAATTTTCCCTTTGGTTGGGCAGAAGCGATAAAACTGAATTAGTCAAGATGAAAGTTACAGTAAATGTTCATACCCCGGGTAAAATGAGGACACTGAAATCTCCACCTTTTAAGATTTAACCCGCGGGCGAGCAAAAGTTCTATTAGGCAACTGCCATTCAGAAAACTGCAGACTCATATGCCATTTAAAATAATATATGGCATTTCTTAAATTCAATGAGTGTTACATTGAATGAGCACTGAGCATAAAGACCATTAAAGAATAATGAATTACTGCAGTAATATGGATTGTCCTTGCAGCAATGCAAAGCTTGAAACAATGGCTGAACTAGTATTCCCAAGAACCAGCAGGGCTAAACAGCCTCTCATCCCGGAGAACATGAAGTCGTGTCCCTGGAAATAACCCAAATAATGACCCTCAGCACCAGTGTGACAGCAATGTGAGCTGAGTTGCTAAAACAAGGTCAGATGTGAACAAGTCTGATGTGTTTTGCCTTTCGCACTTGACCCTGTGAGCTCTGTTTTTGGTCTGTCCTACTGGGGAGAAAATAGTGGGTCAGTTCACTTCAATTACTTGCCCCAAAATAAAAGAAATTATTAAAAGGATCAGGCCCTCCTAAAAAGGGGCAGCTTTCGTGATGAGTCATAGCTGTTTATGCAAGAGGCCAGAAGGTGGTCTTCTAGCCGGAGGTGAGATACAAGTGCTGCTGCTGTCGCCTGGGCCTGTACCCTGTCTGTAAAAATCAGATATGTGGAGCCAGGGACACATCATTCAGCCTGCAGCACTGACATGTCAAAATGTATCGCATTTAAAAGCGAGGATATGATACAATACCATGAAACTGTTTGCATTGTGAAGGCTGTGTGTAGGGAATGAGAGATGAGAAAACACTGTTGCTGTTTGGCCTGACAAGCTACATCCATGTCTTTATATCTGATGATATAGAACAGGGTGGGGCACCGTGAAATGTAATTAAATATACGTTTAAACAAATTGCAAAAACTGTTTGATCTGGGCCAAAAATAGCATAGACGTTTTCGCTGACCTCATTTGGAGAGGGGATGTAGGGTAACAATGTAATCTCTTATTTAAAATGTCATCCTTTGACAGTGACGGACCAGGAGAGCACAGCAATGCTGGTGATGGATGATAGCCGGGCACTAAACATTGTATTGTCAGACAAACAAAACAAACTATCTTCCACTGGAAAGATTCAAATGCTGCACAGGCAGATTGTATTTGTAAATTGCTATATGCAGCCGTGATTCTTCCCCTTTACATTGTCATATACTCTGCATTCATTGCTCAATCAACCTATTGTTAAGAGGGTCAGAAGTCTTTGGGTCGTTATATGCATACACGGTGGAGTTGTGCTTTCACGTATAAATGCACTACGTGTTTTAAATGTCATGGTCTTTCTGTGTGCATTGACTGGGGCTGATGATTTCATGAGAATTTATTTTTTATATTTAACCTTTATTTAACCAGATAAAAGCATTGAGATAAAATCTCATTTTCAATGCTGACCTGGCCAAGAAGGCAGCAACGTTACACATAACACAAACATATAAAATACAGAGAACATAACTAAGAAAACAAAAGACGAAAAAGCAGTCACTACATTGTGCACATTAGGACAGTAAGAAAGGTACTACTTATTACTGCAAGAGCAGCTGGTGGTGAGGACTTCAGACAACTTCAATTTAAAACATGATATTGAGACAAGTGCCGTCAATTTGAGGCATGATTGAAGGTCATTCCAAGACCAAGGACCATAATAAAAGAGACTCCTTTTTCCAGCCTCAGTCCGTACAGTAGGTACCTGGAACCGTATCCAGGCACTGGATCTGAGGTTGTAAGAGTCACAAACTGGAGCAAATCTGGCACAGATGTACAGTGGAAGCTTACCTAAAATGGCTTTATACATTAATAACAACCAGTGCTGCATCCTACGCATAGTAAGTGAGGACCATCCAGTTAGGCTATACAGTGTGCAATGATGAGTCCTATAGGGTGCATTTGATATATAACGCAGTGCAGCATGGTAGAGTGGGTCAAGTTTGGCCAAAACAGTGGGACAGGCAAATCTATAAATGGTATCACCGTAGTCCAGCTGGGACAGGAATAAGCCAGAGACCAATCTTTTACGGGAAGAAGTTGAAAAACAACAAACGGTATTGCATTATTTATTTACTTTTCACGTAGTGTACGATGCACGGTATAATTTATCCATGTACTGTATGGCAGAATATCTTTCCCAATGTATTTTGTGTTGGCTGTATACCGTTTCCACAAACATTGTTTGCACTGTTATACCTGGGTATTTGGACATATCTGTAATTACCTATGTGATAAGAATCAAACAAAATTGAATGCACTACAGAAATCTGCAATCTTTTAACCTGTCGGTATGGGCATGCTACAATACTGGGCAATGTTTGGACATTTTTAGTGGCGTCTGTCAATTTGTGGAATTGCTGGGTCCATCTGTCTTTAATAGTTTTTTTCAGTTTTACCCGTGGGATTCTTTTGACAAGACCTTTAAAAAATAAAAAGAGTCCCAATGCCTGTGAGATATTTGGCATGTGGCACACAAGACAGGCAACTCAAAAAGTTAGGTGTGATGAAGATATTCTGAGTAAAACTATTTGCTTTCCATGCTAAGTGTGTGGAGTGGCAGCTTTCTCATTCTGGAAACATGTTTTATTCATAGAGGAAAAGTTGCCATATCCTAAGTAAGAAGGCCAGGCCAGCTTTTGCTGAAGAAAATCTGAACTTTTATGCCAACATACTGGCATAATAAAACTGCGTGTATACAAGAGATTATAAATGTCTGGACATGAGACTGTTAGATATAAGATAAATTAGTCTGACGGTGGCTTTCCTTTTTCAAGCAGAACCTGAAACCAAGAATAACATCAAGCAATAATGTGATGGTGAGAGAGAGACAAAGGCTCCCTTTTATAGCTCCTGGTTAAGTGAACCGACATGTTTGAAAAAGATCTGAAAATAATTCCCTGTTGACTGAGAGCAGTCATGGCAGATAATCTTAGACTGGTAATCCTGAGCATGCTTTTTGTAAATCAGAAGGCAGAAGGAGCATTATATATATCTGTCAGAGAATTAGAGGCTAACTGAGTTGTTATTCTGAGACCATATCTGTGGTAGTGGGGAAAGATAATCCCCATTTCATATTTATATCTCTGGCTAGGATTTTTCTCTTTAAGGGGTTAATCTACAGTTCTTTTAAAAACAGTCTGTTTGCAGGTATTGGCCCTATCTTTTTTTGAGTTTCCTTGACTCTGTTTATTTAGTAACTGAATAATATAATGTGCAATACTTGCATATACTAGAAGACTAAAATGTGCTCCAAAATAGGGTTTTAATCCAAGTTTTACTTAATAATTAACTGTGATAGTGAAAGGTCAGACTCCTGCTGAACCTAATGAACCATGGAAATCACCTGCAGACATCATGCACTGTCTACAGCACACTCAGCAGTATGCTGTAAGTGTCAACTAAGGGTACTTGAGTGTGTTAGAGTTTGTAAAAGCAATGACTGAACGCTCCCAGACAAACTGAGACACAAACACTGATTCACAAACACTCATCAAGTAGAAGAGGCGGAGGAGGAACTGGTAGTCAAAGCTGTTTGAACTGGCAATGATAAATGAATGAAATTTGGAGTTATTGGTTTCACAGAGAAGGAGATTAAATGTACCAAGAAAATCTGCTAAAATCCTTTTTAGCACATGCTGATATTGCAGTTTTTTGTAAATAAACACAGTAGGATTGGAAGACATGAAAGACCCTAGCCAACTGGCAATAAAAAATAAAAGGTTAATTTTCGCCGCCAGTGTTGAATGAAGAAATTATAACTATTTTAAAACTCAAGTATTCCTAATATACTTATGTATTAAGGGGACTAACTTAAAATGTAAGACAAATCTGCTCCTGTAAAATACATATTTGCTTTCCTTGCGTATGTCTTTTTCAGAATATTCATTACATATTTCCACCCGTTCCACCCTACGTCGTTTTCTGTCAAGTAAGATGTTATGGTCTGTCAAGAGTCTTTGTCTAAGCCATTCTGTACAAATGATTAACACAGTGTCTCTCTCTTTATGCTTCTCAGGAAACATGGTGAGCAAGGAGAGTGGCAAATGCATGCTCACCAACTCAGAGTCTGACTCGGAGGCAGCGCCCTCGACCTCCCTGGCACTGGAGGTGAAGTATTCTCTGGAGGCCAGTCGACAGGTGAGGAAGAGGAACAAGGCCCTGCAAGTGCGTTTCAAGGATATTTGTGAGGCACAGAACGAGCAGCGGGAGGCGGAGTTGCATGCAGCGGGGAAAGGTGGCAAGCCCATCTCATACAAAGTGGCGTACCGCAAATACATGACCGTCCCGGCCCGCCGATCCATCCCAAACGTCACGAGGAGCACAGGCGTGCAGACGTCACCTGACCTGAAGAAACGCTATCAGACCTTTCCCTTTGAGCGCAAGAAAGGCCACACCCTTAAACACGTGGCGGCCGTGGAAACTTATAAAGGTCAGAATAACGGTTTTGCCATGGAGGTGAAGCAGTCCAGGGCTGCTGAGCAGGGTTTAGATGAGGAGGAGGGGGAGGAGGGGGCCAGCGGGGGGAGCGGAGTCCGGAGGACCAGGGCTCTGCTCCATACTAATGAGTGCATTGCCACAGTGGAACAGCACACTGCACCTGATGGCCTGTGCTCTGACGCTCTGCAGCTCAGTTGCTCTGCAGACACAGACTGCCTTGCAAACACACAGAGAGGAAGAGGAGCCGGAGCACAGAAAGAGTACCAGCTCTGCAGCGTCCCATCCAAAGCCAGGGCAGGATTACAACACAGGGAGGCCGATACAGACCGCTCGGCCAAGAGGCAGCTGCTAAATCTGGAGGAGGGCTCGTCCCGGACCCTGCCGGTCAGGGCCTCCAAGGTTACCGGCCCCCTCGCCTGGAACTCCCTCACGCAGGTGGAGTGCCTGGACAGTCCGTCTGTGAGGAGCAAGCGGAAGAAAGCCCTGCAGCTCAACGGGCTGCAGAGTCAGACGCTGCCCCGCTCCAGTGCAGGCTGTACAACACAGGCACAGTGCCACACAGGACAGTTATCAGCCCGGCCTCTACGGGCGATGGAGGAGCCTCTGACACCCTGCAGAGGTGGGGAGGCTGGTGGGGCACCGCCTGGCCAAACACAGGAGGCCTGCAAGCAAATAGTGCCTGTGAATCAGGACGGGGAGGTTAAAGCACAGCTCCAGGCCATGGAAAATCTCATCAGCTCCAGCCAAGAGACCATCAAAGTGCTGCTGGGGGTCATCCAGGAGCTGGAGAAGGGGGAGGCCCACAGAGAAGGGTAAGATCTCACTTACAGCTTGTGCTTTACACTAGAGATGTACCTTTTGGACTTTTTCCCTCCCAGTTCATATTCCATTATAAAAGGAGTTAGTACAATAGTACAATACAAAATGAGTTCAAATCCAAAACCAGAGCGATGTTTCTCCCAAATTTGAATACCAATTTGGAATCTGCATCGAAGTAAAACTTGAAAAAACAGAAACCAAAGATTACCTTAGCAACAGAGTGAATGGCCCACCATGAATTAAGTGATTGAGTAAACACTCAATATTTTAACAACATAGACTAAGAAACTGTGAATCAGACACTTAATGGTTTATACTCAATCTGTCTAAAAGATTAATATTGGGGCTGCTACTGATGCACCAAATGTGATTTTTGCCTCCATACTTTACAGTGATGTCAAGCATACGTTGGCAAAAAAAGACGGGGACAAATCAGAGACACAGGGCCCATGATTCAGCATGAGCAGGACAAGTCCCCTCTTGACGTGTCACATCATTTCTAAATCTTAAGGACAGGCATGTACGTGTGACAGCTGTTCAGCAGAGCCCTACGTTTTGAAAATGAGATTACAGCTGCATGAAGCCGGGTTGATGTGGCTTTTACCTGGATGTGCCCATTACAGCACAGTGATCATTTCCCTTTCAGATATGACAGAGCTGCTGCAGAACTTATTAATAGACGATGCATCTTACCAATTTGGGCCCAAGTGGTGGTCACCCATTGTGTACTGTATAACATTACCTTTATAGATATGGCCTTAAAACCATATTCAACCCAATATGTCTAAATATCAGAATTTCATTATCATGATGCTGAAAAGAATATAATTCCAAGGGGAACGTACAATCATGGAGTGATTTTTTCAAGTACTTTGCTAAGTGCTAAAAAAAACTAGAATTTTACCAAATGGCCTTATCCAGCTGCATGCTGTGTTTATCTAGCAAGTCCAAGGCCTTTGAAAAAAGTAATTTACCCTCCAATGGAAATTGAGTATATATATATAAGGGCTGTAGATAGCATCCAACCCAATGAAATAGAGGATTGTCTGTCCAAAGGGACGAGGCAAACAAAATGGCCAATCTGTTGAATGAATTGCTGGGGCTCTGCACCAAGATCACTATCTGTTTTGACCAGCACCGTGGAGAGGTATGGAGTGAGAAAATACATATAATCAACATCATACCAACCTGGAGTGTAAAACCTGTTGGAATTTACCACACAGGTACATGTCAATCTTCTAGCCTCACAACCACAAAAGTGTTTGAAAAGCAACTCTCCATATCAACTTGACTGAATGACGGGGTAAAACTCCTATTCAACAGGGCTTGAGCAAAGCACAGATCTTACAACAGTGTGAGGAAAAAGCAATCATCCTCCTTCAATCTTTCACAAGGCAGCTTTAATCTCCTTATCACCAAACTCATAAAAGTGTGTTGTGAGTGAGAAAAGTGTGCGGACATGTGGTGCAGCATGGGGAGCCATCGTCTCTGTGATGCCAAGCACATCTGGCTTATCAGATGTGTCTAAAGTGGCGGGTGGGAGAGGAGAGGAGAAAGAGAAGAGGCTTTACTTGTAAATAAAACGGAGTGCCTACTGTTTAATAACAATCACATTGTCTTCCCATATGTTAATTGTAAAACTCTACATTTGGTTAAACAAGTATAAGGTTCTTGTAATCCTTGTAATCTGAACCCAACTAAACCTCTACTTTCTTCCCCTACATATTTCTATTTTTTCAATCAAGCCAAGCTAAAAATGCTGACTATGCTTATGTCACACTACATTAGCTTCAAGCTCCCCTTACATAAATGTCACCGATACAACACATAAGAGTGCCCTCAGGCTATAGGTGAGCTCGGTGCAATTATCTAATGTATAACTGCTCACGTTATAGGACATTTTTCATGTTAAGAAATGCAACGCTGGGTGCATTCATCACAACGCGTGTTCATGACATGCTGCTCGGACACTAATTGAAATTCAATGGCTTATGTGCTGAGACTGATAAAAGCACAAGACACAAATACACACATACAAAAAGGCTATGGAAGTCATGATAAAAATAAGTGAAATATTACATTGATATCCTCAAAGTTAGTCTACATAGAAAACCTTAAGTTTCTATGGTTAAAAAAGCAGGCGCACATCCACTGTTGCACTCAATAAATCTAACATTGAGCAAAGATGCAAAGGTTAAAACAGTTTAACTGCTGAATAAGAATGTTAGGCTCTGCGATTGGCAGTCTAACAAAAATGTTATGTTTTAATACCTTTTGATGAATAATCTAGAAATGACCTAACATAGTTACTTTGTACTGATTATTCAACCTAGAATAGCTAATTGAAGTCGCCTGACATTGTATATGCAGAAAATGACTTTCAAAGCCCCTCTATGCATGCGAGCACACATTCATATATATCCCTGATTAACAGCAGGGCATACAATACAACCCAGTGTGAAGGGTGCGCTGCAGTTCTACAGCACATCATTGGCTGCATCCAACGGTACAAAGCTCAGGAATAAATATGCTGCATCATCAGCCAGTGTTGGCAGGCTGGACCCAATTCATCACACTCATGGGGACTTGTTGCTAGCCTGTCTATTAACACTGTGTATGTGTGTTTGTTTTAGGCTGCAGCCACACAAGGACGATAACGGAAATGCACCGAAATCGTTATCAAAAAAGTATTCCGTCCACACGAGACAGCTCATACCGCTGGAGACGCTGTAGTACATATGCCGGGCCTGTAAGTGGCGCTGTACTTCTGCCACAAAATACACCAAAAGCAGCGAAGAAGACTTCTCGCGCATGCATGGTTGCCATGGTTGCCCTTCTGTTTATTCTCCGCGCTGGATTTAGCAGCAGAGGTGGGGTTTAGCCGGTCAACATGTCCGTTAAAGTTTAAATCTTCCGGACAAAATCAGAAAAGTGCCGGTCAAAGGTCTTCTTTGTTATTTATTGAGCTTTAAAACAAATGAATAACGACTCTATATAATAATATAAGAATAATACACGGAGGACGGAGCCTCTCTTTTCCTCCCCCTCTCCTGACAGCCGGTCAGTAGGCCTATCCGTGGTCTCATGCAGCTGGCTGATCCAGTAATGAGTGACCTGACAGTAAAAATAAACATATTTATAACTAGTTTAGGTAGTTTGAGAGGTAATTAAAATAGCTAAGGGTGATGATCTAACTTGAAGTGTGTGTTTTGTTCCGCTCATCGCTCCATCACAGCGGGCGGAGCTGCAGGTTATCATGCAGAGCTGCGTGTCTCCTCTCCTGTCCGATTAGACTTCACTGGCGTTTATGTCCATATCGATCAAATCTAGCTGGAAGCTCCTGCTGGGTGCACTGTCCTGCGAGAAACCGGGACCTGGCTCCAAACACTGGGGCTATTGCGTCATCGTTAGCAGTAAATGATCGTTATAGGGCGTAATCACGGAGCCGTTTGGCCCCCCAGAGCGTTTCGTCCGCAGATCTACCCACCTTGGGACCCCGTTATCGTTATCATTTTCTGCGTTTCCATGTCAGCCTCGTGTGGCCGAAACGTCTATCAGATAGACGGTTCGGATAGACTATATCTGATAAAGAACTGATAGAGAACTGTAGCAGATATGACCGTTATCGTCCTCGTGTGGCTGCAGCCTTAATGCCTTTGGACTCCCACCCACTCAATGACCTTTGGGAGGGCTCACCTAGTAGCACATGGGGGGGGGTAGGGAGGATAAATATACTGTTAATGGCAGTTTTGGCTTCACTCTCTCCAGGGAGGCTTGCCAAAATGAGTTCTGCTCTTTTATTTTCTCTTATCAACTCAGTGTGAGAGAAAGGTGGGGAGGAACGAGGGATGGGAGAAGAAAAAGATCTAGACAGCGTGAGGACAAGAGATAGAGAGCATAAGGGTGAGTTATTCAAAGGAGCGAGTTGCCTGTGTAACCCATCGGCAGAGTATTGATCGACTCACCTCGATGGAGTGTGGAGATGGCCTTGGACCATACCACTCTGGTTTCTGGTTATGGCAATCCCCTAAATGACAATGCTCCGAACTGCAAACTTCCCAATATCACTGCACTTATTCTCTTGTCGAATTGTCTAAAATTGGCGACAGCTTTGAAAAAAAAGAAAAAAAAGGGAGTATATCACTAAATGGAGTAGATTAGGAGAGTAAATGTATGATAGCGGTTTAATTTTTGGTGAGCACCTTATGGGCTGAATCTCTGAGAAAGACTCAAAAAGAGGGCTCTCCTACTACTACAACGATTAGGACGAGAATTAAGTGTTCACGTCAGCCCATAGACATCAATAAAGAGGAGAATTCAGTGACTTTGAACTACCAGTCATTTTAGAAATGTCAGGGATTTTTGGTGAATCGGTTTATTAGAGCAAAGGCCTTATTCTGGAACATCTTAAAACCTTGACAAAACAATGTTTCTTTTGAGTGTGCTTTTTGCTGCAACAAACCCAGCTTCACATATTTCATAACTGTCTTACAAAATGATTCAAGTAGTTTGTAATTAGCCTGGTAAAAAAAATGTCAAACTAAAAACGGCTTTGTTAAAATATCAGCTACGACAGTTAAACTGGGTTTTCAAGACTGCTTTCATAGGTCATGATCATAAAAAACAAAACAGCAGGGCATCTCCTTCCAGTCCATGCCATTGGTGAAGTAAGGCTACAGTACTTCCATATGTCGTTAATTATAAGAGGAAACTATGCTGCCAATCAATAGGCACATTTTCACATGATAATCCAATAAGAAAGCCATTGAACCTTTGAAGCATGAAACCAAGCAGTTCCATTCAGGGCCATCACCTGGTCTTTAGCGGCCCCCTTGAGAAATGGGGATCTATAATGGGACCTTGGTTCATGACAATATTTCATCTCAGCAGCAACTGATAATAGAACAATATAGGGACACACAGGATATGAGATAATAGGATATTGATGGGTTTGAATGTGAATTCAGTGAATCAATATCTCAATTAAATTAAGAGGGGTGGACTATAAATTGCCAAAGGACCTTCTGTTATAAGCAAAATTGTCAACATGTATCTGATAAGAGGACCCAGCTCATTGCTGATGCTTTTTTTATATTTCAGATGATAAATGGTTATTGAAAATATGTAAGATTACTAAATGTTTTACAACAGTATCTTGTTCAGAATGGAATAACCATGATTCAATTTCTTTAGTGCAAGTAAAAAAACGTTGATATTAGGATAAGTAGTCATATTGGGCATTGGGAAATTGTGTTAGTTTTCTTACATTTATATAGAAAAAATATGTCAATTGATCAATAACGAAAATAATCCTTACAGTGATATTATTATATCAGAACATTTGTAATGTAAGTGAATGGAAAAGTAACAATCCTGTCACACCTACTGCTTATAAACTCTTTCTTTGTACTACTTTGCCTTATCCGACCTCAAAATCAGTCAACCAGCGCTAATGGCCGACTCTGTGCTCTCTGTGCCCTGGCTGCTGGACACGGGCCACTCAGGAGGGCAGCATGACTCCTTCCTCACCCTCATTTACTCGTCTCCTGCTAACGAGGGGTGACAAACAAGATGAGAAAGGAAGGTGTGAGGGAGCAGCTTAACAAAGTCCTGTAATTACTCATTCACGACTCTTATCTTCCCCGCAGACTCTCCTATCGAACCGGACAGGACACGGCCAACTGCGACACATGCCGGAACAGCGCATGCATTATTTACAGGTGAGTGGCCATTCCTCTTCAAAGACACGATGATCCAAATGTGCCCTGTCCTTTCTCCTTGAGGGAAAGTGAACAGGTGGAAAAGGGATGTGGAGAGGAGCAGGGGATGCAAGACTAATGTGGATGCTGTTAATGAGCACATGGGGACGTGTGACATTTACACATTGCTTCCTCTCTCCATCTATGCGTCAGATTCTCCCACACAGCTTCATTCACTGAAGGGTGTGAAGCAGGAATAGGGTTAGCTGGATTTAGATATAAAAGGGCACAAGGTTGAAAAGCAGAGAGGATACATGCAATGGAATGAGTGAGCACAGAGCAGAAAGGTGAAATGAATTATCCTCCGAGCATAATACATTAAGTTGCCAAGCCAACTGAGTTTCAGCATACTTTCAGTTTCAGTTCAATTGAGTTGACAACCAGTACAGGCGTGCGTCCAGAGTCATTAGTCTACCATGGTACACAGTACTATGAAAGTATGTGTGTGTGAGTTTGTGTAAATTGCTGCTTTGGATTTGTGCATGAATGACAAGAAATCAATGTAACAATTAGTCGGCAGCAGAAAATGAATTGCCATTTATTCCAGTGTTTCAATAGCTTTGAAAGAAAAAGTGAGATTTGAGATTTGGCTGTGAATTTAATCCCTTCCAGTTTCTGACAAGTTGTACATTTCAGCTCTCAGAATTAGTCATGAGAATTAATCAATATAGTTTGTTATTTAACATTTTTTAACAAATAGCTGGTGAATCACAAACAGCTTAATGAAATGTGGGGTAAGGGTTACCATTCCAAAATGCTGAAGTTTAGCAGGTTTATTCTTTACTATGGTTACAATATTTGCTTAAATTTGAGTCATAGGCCAAAGTATTGGATTTGATCTGACCTAATTTAGCTTCTAGAGAAAGGTCAGGGGATCACCAAAGTCATTACAGAATATGACAGATTGTGCTTTTGGGACCTTGAATAACTGTACCACATCTCAGCAATCCATTACGAAGCTGTCAAGATAGTTCACTGTAGTTCACACCAGGAAACCTCATTGTGGCACAAGGAAAACATTTTACGGGACCAAAGTTAGTAGTACACTACCTCTGGGCATCATGAATGTCCTTCTAATCCATTCCAAGGTTGTTGAGCTATGGATTTAAGTTGTAAATTAACTGACAATGGCAACTATAGAGCCAGGTTACCAGGGAGGCTAGAAATCCATACCTGCTTGTGCACATGCGTACTGATGGTTTTTTCTCTTTGGTGACTCCTTCCAGTCAGAAACAACAGAGAATTAAAGAGAGGGGATCAATAAAATGGTTTTAGTGTATAATACTGTTCGCCTCAGTCGTCACTAAACCTCAAAATAGCCATGTATATCATGTTCTATCTACTGCTCCCAATAAGCCCCTAGCTTAACTTCAACCAGCTCCTGCCACAGGTCTGTTTCCTAAATTGTGCCAGCACCTCTCCATGGCCAAGGGGTGGACAACAAGAACGGTTGGCTTTACAAGCAAACACCAATATGAAGTGAGCTGAGCTGAATTATGCCATATAATGTGAAGGACACTGCAAGAGCACAACATGGCATGGGGGAATTAAGAGGCAATGGCAGGGTCAAAGGATAGATGACATGGGACAGACTGCTGGGATGGGAACTCAGCTGGTATTATAAATGAGTCAGCAGCATGTTTAATGGTAACTCTGTGTGATTTGGCCCTGGGGAAGAGAAGGCCCTGCTCTCTGCGCTCTGGCTGCCAGAGCCTCACTGTGCCCGCCTCTGAGACTCCAGAGACGTTCACTAACCATCTTCCCGAGTCTGTGAGAACAATCTGCAGCGTGATAACAAGTCTAAATATATGAGCAATTCCATTCTGAGGATCTTTTTCTGTACTTAAAACTGTAGTGTTGGGAAAGGTGCTTCAGTTATATATATCGCCATGACCTGTATTCCCAATGAGGGATTTAAATATGCAAAACACAGGCTGCAATAAAAGCTATGATTAAGTGTGCCCATTTGAATATGAGCCAATAATTTATACGTGTCATCCATCTTATTAGGTTTTTTCCATACCTGCTCTTTTAAATCCCCAGAGAGAATCAGATTGAATGTTATTGAAAAAGGGGTCACAGACAAAACCAGGTCAGATTTGGCCCTTGAACACACAACTGTCTTCAAACCAGCGCTTTACTATATCTCCACATTTTGCTTCCTAGATCTGCCACAATCAATTGATATGCTTCATCCACAGGAAGTGCACAAAAACAAAAACAGTACAAATCTCGCCAGCGCCTGGCAAGGTTTCAACTTGATACAGGGCAGAAATTCCTAAGTGAGATGTTTGAAATATATTAAATTGAACCAAGTCCTCCTTTAAGAGTCTGGCTTGGCATGGTAAATTGTGTTGATTGGACACAGAATCAAAAATAACAGTTGTTTTCACACAGGCAGGAGGATTAAATGTCAATCTAATTACTTAGATCTCCATGAAAACAACCTCTCCGGAGCTGGAGGAGCACAAGATAGGAAGCAGAGCTCATAGAGAAACAAACACTGTATGTGGAAAGGAAAGCTGTCTGTTAGAGGGTTTTTTTCTGCGTTCATGTCTGTGCCATGGCCAAACCCCTAATTCCTGCATTTATGATGTAGCTGGTCTCATGACCGGAAAGGGCATATACGTCTATAAATCATTTTTAACTATCCAAGTTAGGAAGCAGCCATGCATTCTTCAACATAATCAATTTGTCCAAGAGTTTATGGCATCATCTCAGAGCCCATCCTTAGCATAACAACTGTACCACATCAATACGTTTCTGAAGGCGATAGGCATGGATTTCAAACAGAATACACAAGCTGCTGTTTTCTGTTGTCCTCGTTTGGTCCCACTTTCCTCATTTTAAAACCATCTTGAACTTTCTTTTATCCTCTCTCTGTAACTTTCTCTCTCTATCTCACCGTTTGTCCTGAATACCTTATCTCCTCCAAACAGCTAACGGTGTGTGTTCAAATGAAATATGCAATGCTTAATACAACATACATGCCATTAAGACAGAATTGTTGAGGAAGGGATGAAAAGATTATTGTAATTCAGTCCATCATTACAGGTGATGTGCTACTGAGAAAGGTGGGGAGAAATGTACAAATAAAGTAGTCTGACAGTAAGCAAGACAGACAAACAGCGAGAGGCTGGGTGGGAACAAATGAGATAGACAGGATCGAGCAGAAGCTGGGGATTTGAAAAGCATTACACTTTATTTTACAACCCGAGGCATTAAGTCGTGAAGGGTCTTGACGCAGAAACCCTGTAATCCCATTTTCCTCACATTACATTTAAATGGGCTAATGTGCTGATCAAACGGGAAGATAGATGTAAGTGAATGTGATTAAGGGAGGCGATTGGGGAGGTCCCCGACACTGGGAGTCATTGTTCACAAAGGACTATCACTGCAATTGTGTCATTAGCTTGCGATTAATTCAGCAACAGCTAATCATTAAACAACTATCTGTATCTGATGATAACATTGTATTTAAATAACAAAGCTCAGTGCATCTAATATGATATTAAAAAGGAATGGGTATTTAATAAGGGGGAAATCTCCCATCTATTGTGCAAGGCTATGAAAATCAATTAAGCGTGGCTAAAGGCTGAAGAGATGATTACATTAGAACATATGGAAATTACGGAGCAGCCAGCCTGTCCTGACGCACCACTCTGCTGGGGGAGGATATCTCTTTTTGTGCAGGCATAATGATGTTTTCCAACATGGTGGCAAGCCGGTTTCCATAGCTACAAAAGTGATCCTCGGTAGGACAGACAGTGTGAAGGGACGGCGAGGTTAGTCAGGGAGCGCACATTCACACCCGCGGAAGATAGGGCTAGAAATAAAAGCAGGCAGGGTGAGAATGTGAAACAGGTAGACACCGAGAAGGATGAAGGTGACGAGGAGAGATAAAGTCTTGCGGAGGTTTAAAGTGGGGTAAAGGGCAGGTGAGAGGTGTGTGTGTGCGGGTGAATGATTTGAGTTTTTCTTTTCTTGGACGTACACTTTCTTTCAGAGAGCAGGAACATGACAGGAAGAGAGTGGGAGTGAGTGAGAGGGATACAGAGCAAGAGAGGTTAAAGACTGACAAGGTCCAACGTGTCTTCTTCAATTGGTTCCGAACCCACAACCCACTCTCGGCTGTGGGACATAAAGATGCTAACAATATTCACTTTTACTAACAAAAAAAAATCTAATCTAAATGTGGAGCACCACATCAGGGCCCGTGAGTTTCATAAGGAGGTGCTGATAACTGGGCGGCGTAGAAATGGATACATTTTTTATTAAAAGGCCTTTGGAGTACGTTTCAAAGATGAGATGATTATCTTTTCACTCTATTTTTCCCAAATGAAGTTATGCAGATTTTTTTCCTTTCAATGACATTTCAATTGTGTTGCTATGCTGCTCCCAAGACACATGCCACGTCACCTCGTCTTTGTATAAATCTCCTGGCAGAAAGCTGCATATTTGATAAGAGTAGCACATTTAATTAGTAGGTGTAGCTCTAACAAAGATAACTCGGGGTAAGAGGAAATGATACGCTACCAGGACCACTGTGTTGAGAGCACTGTGAATCTACTGGTTGTTCTAATATGTACACTGAGGATCTTCCATGGAGTGTGTTTATGGATTTAGTGGGAATTCAATACAGCTAATAAAAACAGAAAAAACTAAAGATAGCATGTGAACTTGAAAGGGCATTCAAAGGATGTAGCTTACAATGTGTCATCACACACACCAGGAATCGAGATAAATGGTGTGAACGACGTGTCAGATGAGGGATGTAAACATGTCACAAAAAAGTGACATTTCTTTATTTTAAGTACTAAAGCCCTTCAGGTTATTCTTGTAGCGACTCATTTTCTTTTTTATTTGACCACATTGATATAATAGTTAATGTAATACATATAAGAAAAAATGTAGTGTAAAATGTGCCTTTTTGGTTGATAAGGATGCAAGTGAACACACATTCCCACTGCAAATACACAAGTAATGCTTAAATACTGATATAATGACTGTAAAGTGTTATGCTAACCCCTAGATTCCACCGGGTCCGTCTGCAGCGCGTTACGGGCGCGTTACGGCTGCGCCGCGGTGCTCACGGCGATCGCGGCCACTCTAGTCAATGGGTGTTATTCCACCACACGCGGCGCGTTACGGCTCAGAAGTGTTCCAGAAGCGGCTCGGCGCAGGGCTCCTCTAAAATTAGGATCGAATCCTATTTTTGTCGCGGCGCAGCCGTAACGTAAGGTCGGGCAGGCAGGAAGTGGAACTTTCAGAGCATATATAGCATATATATATATAGATATATTATATACACACACAAACTAATTTTGCAGACCCTATCCCTCCGTAGTCTTTCAAGTAGGAGGAGAAATGCCAGCGTTCTCCTCCGGTTTACAGGCACTGTGTAAATTATATATATAGAATAATTATGATGATGAATGCATTTTTTTACCACTAAAATACAGCAACACGTCTTTGATTCATGTCGTTTATAACTGGAATATTACAGTTATTATTAACTTTGTCTGTACAAAGTAGCCTGTCCAGGAAATATGCCCAAATCAACAAAAACTGCGAGGCGGCAGGCAAGACTCTCCGCTTCTGAAATGCTTCTGAAACGCGCCTGGTAGGGTATGACGCCGGAGGAGGCCGGACCAAAACCGCAACGCGGCGCAGACGGACCCGGTGGAATCTAGGGGTTACACACACAACATGAACTGTACAATATATAGCAATTGAAGATGATCTGCTGGTTGTATCAATATGGTTAAATTGCTGTGTCCTTGCAAGGCGAGAACCTGGAGCCGTGGATGCACAGCAACAACAGTATCAGCAGTATTAGGCTTACACTGCAGTGCGAGGAAAATCCTATCACTGTTAGAGGCTAACTGTGTATCTGTTTGTGTGGAAGAAACACATCCCAGAGAAATTGAGCAGCATTAAGCTACAGTTCTTCAGGAAAAAAGGAAGACAGATTACTCTCCCTGCCTTTCTTAATTGAAGTCTTTTTTATAGGAGTAATAAAAAAGGATATTGATATACTCTCTGCTTCACTACAGAATGACACCACCACACACTCATTAGACTCTGACAAACACACCGTCATTGATCACAGAGTCCTTTGATGCCGTGTTACTCCGGTTATTTGATCTGCAAGAGCCTGTTCATTTTTCAGCCCATGAATTACATTTAATGTGTGAGCTTGAGTTTGACTTCAGAAGACACCGTGATCTTATTATAAATCATGACGCATAGGGCCGTGATTCACACAGGAAGTGCAGCTCCCTGGGGCAAGACCAAAGGAAATTAAATGTTCTAAAACTGGTAGAAAGTTACTAATACTGAAGAGAACCTAGTGAAACAATTAACAGCAGGAGAGGATCAATAAAGTGATAAGATAGTGGAAAGATATTAAAAATCAAAGTGTCCTCCGTCAGCTCAATTTTGGACCAGTTGAATGCCAGAACGAGTAAGTTGAAGAAGATGGGGTAAAACAATACAAGGCATGAATTACTTATTTCTTAAGTCAAGAATAGATTACATGTTGAAGATGTTACCGAGCTGAGTTACACACCTGAGGACAAATATATGCGGCCAAGCATAAAAAAGTCATTGTTGCCTATTATTTGTGGTCTATTTCAGGTTTACACATATTAACACCCTAATTTACTTTAACACACAGGTGCATGAAGACAAACACAAACTGCAACAGACTTCAGAGAAGTGAAGTGGATTTACACCAGTGTAATTAACAGCCTGTGATTTATTGCCAATAGCTGCAGTGTTCTTGGCCGCCCAGTTTAAAGGCCTGAGTCAAACAAATGCAAAGTGCTGAGTGTCTGGTTCAGCACCCAATCATTACACCTACATTTATGTGTGTTCATCTTACCAATTCCAAAAGCATCAGGGTACATATTAGAAACCGAGGTATTTTACCGTGACACTTTATTTGCAATCGTCCCATTTGCAAATTCTCATGTGTAATGCCTGGAAATGATTATTTGGCAGTGCTTTGATGCAACTGACAGAATAATGTGCACTACAGCTCACACGTAAAACTCATCATAACCAACTTCCAGTACTTTGTAATGAATATATTTTCAATGAAATGTTCTCTCGGGAATATATCTTGTGTAGCAACAGGCAATCACGCCATGTATTTCAGTCGGAGCGGGCGTCTGATGCCTAGCTCACCTTGAGTTCTGCATAATCTCTCACTATGTAAAAGGTAGTGTCTGCTGTAGCCAGACAAACTGCAGTATTCATGAAGTGGATCCTGCTGTCGTTATGCAAGTCTGTCCGACTCAGGCTAGTGGCTGGAAGAAGCTTTAGCAGATTAAAGTTCCTCTACATTTAACACAGCTGAGGCAGTAATCTGAGTTTCACTTAGCAGAACCTAGCAGTCAGATGTGTGCGGGGGTGGGATTACAATGATGGCTGGAACAGATAAATCCCCTAGCACCCTGGAATAAATGAGGAGAACACAGAAAAGGGAGAGAATGTGTTTGTGTACAACTTGGCATCCATATCTTTGCTGATGTTGCAATGCACTGTACATTGATCACAGCAACATCAAATAAAGCTAAATCCTAAAAAGCTGAGGAAAAGATCTGCTGCTCAACACCCCCCTCTCCAAGTGACCAAGTACTCCTCACTGGGAAAAATACTAATGGGCTTCCCTCTCGCTTTATGAATCACGATAAGAATGCAAATAACACAACCACCACAGCGGCGGCAGCAGCCAAAGTGGGCAGCCAGATGTAATTAAAAACAATCTGAATTGGGAGATTTTAAAGGGAAATAAGGATAGAGTAAGCCATCAAATGTAGGTCGCTTCAAAGGCTGAGCAATGCTGCGACAGATGCCTGTGCTGAGGTCAATGAGAAGAGGCCAAAATGTAGAAACTTAATATGGTTAGAGGCGGAGTGTGGCGGTCAAAACATGTCAGGATTAAAAGAAGCGTGAAGGGGACAGAAACCAGAGTGGTCTCAGTGTTAAAGGATAAAGGAAGAATATACACAGCAAAAGCAAAAGTCAAAGTAAAGGTTGGTTAAAACAATCCATATTTTCTATTGCAGTGAATACAAGTGAAATACACCAATTATCACATTATACACCAAAGCAAATGATAAACCTAGTTTGCCATAACCAAATGCTGTCTCAGATTTGTATGTATAACATGTTTTGCACTAGCATTTTAATAACTTGCTGTTAATACCAGCATGATATAATGTTTGATCTGACTTTGTGTCTCTGTGTCTTTGCTGCAGTGTGGAGCTGGACTTCAAGCAGCAGGAGGACAAGCTGCAGCCGCTGATGATGAGGCTTTGCCCTTCGGCGGACGGCCACTTCCCCTCTTTGCCTTACCCCCAGGAGGCCTTCACCTCCACCCCGAAACGCAAGTCCAAAGCTGACTCCAAGAAGCACGCTCGCTGGAAACTTTGGTTCCTGTAAGAACACAGGACCGTCTCCTCCCCCACTACTGATGCACAGGATTTATGCGTCTGTCTACTCATCCATATTCGTTTGGTTTAACCATAGGCTTCAGTTTTGTTATCAAATCTCTTTTGGTACACCTGGTGTTAATGGAGAGCTCCACCACTGGATACTGAGCCCCTTCTTGCAGAGGACAGGATGTGTACTGGGACACATGTGCGGATTCCATGGAAAATTCAAAAACGTCATGCTTACCAAAAATTGATGCAGAGTTATTTTTGAACTAATTTCTTCAAACAGGGTGTGAAATTACACCAAGGGAATGTTTTCGCAGATCAACAAGGTGAGAAGACAAATTCGACTTCCCTCTGTCTATTTGCATATATTTTTCTAGCTGACGTCCACAGGGTTCTATTCTAGGATTAGTCAGTGAGCATCACATTTCTATTCACCAGTTGGGACTGTCTTTTTTTCCCCCTGCCTCCAGGAGAGGTCGGCCCTTCAGCCGCCACGCTCTGAGGTCTACAGCAACAGCATATCGCCGTACTGCAAAGCACAATTAACACTGTTCAGGATACATTTTCTGCAGAGTAAATAAAAAGAACTATTTTGAGTAATAACTCACATGTAGATCATCTACTAAGACTTTCATCACATCTAAAGAAGAGACCTTAAGGACAAAGAAGTCAGAGATGTTTATTCAATCTCTTTGATCCACTTTCTATCCATCTCTAATATGTCTCCTTGAATCCACTGACTTTGAAGTAAAGAATGAATAAATAACAGTTATTTTCTTAAAAACATTTGCAAAGTTAGACATCAATGTACTTTTTTTCTATATAAATATATATCTATACACATTCATTTTAAGGTTTAGTGGAATATATTTATTTGAGCTGGTGTGAAGGGGGCTGTGCAAAACTACAGTGCATAGAAGGAACATTTCTGATTCTTAATTCCTTTTCATCGAACCTAGTTCTTATAAACCTCACAGTGCATATGATCATACTGTACCTCCATGAGTATAAAACGAAAGAGTTCTGGCTCAAAAAACAGAAAATTCAGTTCAAAGTTCAAAACTTTTGTTCAGTCAAGAAACCAAGTATCACAACACATTGTTGGTTTGAAGCACATGTGAGGGGAAACAGAAGATAGCTGTGATTGTATTGCTGCAGTGTTCTGCATCAGCTAGTCCGTTAGCGACTGAAGCCGAGCCACAGACTGAATGTGCCACTTCTGATCACAACCAGGGCTTCTACAGTGCAGGGTGGCAGGCTTGTCACCTCGCATGCTTTTTACAACCCTCACATTTTGCAGGATATTTTCTAGCTTTTAAAGAATTTATAAAGAGATCTACACAAAAAGTGTCCACAGCCCTACCCCCCTTTTTTTCCTGCTCATCACTTTCTATCGATCCGACTGCAACTCATGCCGCAACTCCACACAGGGTTCAAAGACTATGTACAGACACAATATTTGTTGTATAGCATCTACTGTAATAGGGCTAATACAACTTTAATGAGAGGGAAAGCAGCCAATATCTAAACAAATAGTTGACCTTAACATCGCCTGCAGGAGCTCAAAGCCTCTCAAAGCCAAAAACACTGCCCAAAAGACGAATGAATACGAATCTTTATCTGCTGTCACAACAACACCGTGCAAACTGCTAGACGTCACTGGTTTGACCTTCACAAGCTCCGACTCGCTGCTTTCTGTTGGCTACATGTGATCACACCTCCACTCTTGTACATGCAGAGTAGGTTTCTTTCAGTAGGTATGCTGTAGCATCAAGAGAGAAGTAGATGTTTATCTGTACCTTAAAGAAGTGCAATTGATTTAATATGTGCAATACTGTGTATTTTATACTGTTTTTTTTACAAAAGAGAAAGAAATAAAGATATTTAATATGCAAAATGTAAAAAATAAACCAGACATCTACAGAGCTCTCAAAATCTGAAGAAGAATGGGTGTCATTTGCGTATTATATTAGTGACTTTACCTCTGTAGGTTGTTACTTTAATTAAGGCAAGTACCAGTTAAAGGGTTGACTAACAAACATCTATAACCATATACATTCACCTCTAATGGTATCAAACAGTTGGCAGCAGAAATCTCAGAGACACATATCTTATGGGCCAACAGAACTTAAACTATATGCAAGGAGAAACATGCTAAATGGGGTCTATTTGGATTTGAAATTGGTTGGATTTAGGATTTCCATTGGCTTAGTTTGAAAAATGTTATGCATAACAATCACCTCTACAATCTTATGTGATGCAAAGTGAGAGAAAATCAGGCGTGCTGCCCTTTGATGTGGTGATGTGGTGATGTGGCACAAACACGAGCAGAATGCAACACAGGAATACTCAGCGCACAGCTTTGGGTGCAGCAGACGACCTGCTTCTGATCCAAAGCAACCCCTGCCTTGCTTACCTTACCGTGTGTATGGACTTTCACGTCCATGCAACTGCCTGATGAGGCCTCAGACCAGCAGAGTAAATGCCCCAGAGATGCAGAGTCATCCTCACATGGATGCACGCATTTGCAGGAACCAAAGTTGCTTGGGGGCAACACTACCCCCCTCCTCTCATCCGTAGCAGGGCGTCCCCTCAGGTGAATGTTTATGGCTCAGCAGTGAGGGTACAAACAAGACATCTCGCTTCCTTTCACCGCAGCCCCTCTGTGGTTTGAAGGTGGCGGCCATCACCGCGCGAGTCCCGGTGGTTTCCCCACAGCGTTGACAGGGAGCACACGCCTGACATGAGTTGTTGCCGGGTCAAGATACCCAAGAGGACGCTCAGTCAAAGTATCAGTATAGCAGAGGGGAGGAGAGGTGAGTGATAAATGCACGTTTGAGGCATTATGATTCAGTGCCATATCTCACTATGCTTCTTTTCTGTAAGAGCTCTGCAGCAGTCTGGCCGGTAGAAGAGAGAGACAAAGAGGGAGAGAAGCAGGGAGTTGCTGGGAGGAATATTTGCACAGAAACCGATATTAGAACAGAGATAAAGAGGTTGAGTGATACAGATAGGCCAGGGATCTGATGTGTATAGATGTCATTGAGATGGCTTTGTTGTAATATATTCCCTCTGAGAGTGCATGCAGCAAAGAAAGAGCTCCAGGCCCTATAGCCGGTCAGCTTCATCCTGTCAATCAATAGCACAAGTCCTTCCCCCTGCAGCTCTCCACTCCATCTCTACTGCACACTGCAGGAAAGTCTGCAGGATACCCATGAAGCACTGCTGCAAGATATCTAGCTCCTTAGTCCTCAAAACTAAAGCTAAGTAAAGTTAAATAGGTGATTTAGACAACATGATGTAGTCAAGCTTATTTTGACATTCAGATGTTTTCTGACAATGCATAACAAAATGTGCAAAGATCAGTGTGGTTAAGATGGACAAAAAAAAACGCAAAGCTTTATTTCATTATTCCGGCTGTAGCCTCATTCCCATGTTTATCTGGATGGCTCATCCGCAAGCTTAAATCTAGAGGAAAAGGTCATTCAAGGGCATTAAGGTAGAACTTGGTAATTTCCACAGGGGTGGCCAAAAAAAATGTCTGCTACAATCCTAATGTAAATGATTTCACAAGGATTCATCTAAACCTGTGTGAGGGTGGACTTGAATATAAAGAAGCGGCCTGTTGAGATGTCCGACGATGCAAATGCTGAATGAGTCGCGAACAGGCGTAGCTCTGCAGGGACACCGAATGACAAAAACAGACGCCCCCAAACCGTCCCTGTGATGGCTCTCATCATCATCATTCTGTATCCACCACCTCCAGGAGAGGAGAAAGGACAGAGAAGAAAGAGAAGGAGAGAGGCGGTAGAAAGAGAAGAACATTAATGCAGAAATCTAAAAAGGTAAGCGCGCTGCCACTCAGAGGAACAAGGTCGGTGGTTGGCTGCGGTGTTGTTTGAGCAGCAGTGCGCAACCTGCCTGCAGAGTAGGCAGCGGTGCAACAACAGTCCTCCGATTAGCAAGCTGCGACGCTTCCAGAAGCACTAACTGATCTCAGAGCTGTCAAAACTATCACAGACTTCATTGATCGTTAGGGAGTGATTCAGGGATATGATTCAAATGAAGCCTCTGTCCCCAAGCATTATATTACGTTTGAGTGAAAGGGCAGTAGTGCCCTCAAAAAGACAAGGCTTAGATGTGACCTCTATCTCCCACTGGGTAAGAGGACACGCTGATGCTAAATATTTAGCAGGTACTTAGGAATGTCAAGGCAATCGAGTGTGGCCATGGCTAGTTAGGAGACAGCCTCTGACAAAAGGTAGCACATGTATACAAAGTAGATGGGTTCAATAAGGGTCACAGAGCAGATTCATTAACCAGAGAGGAGGCTGGTCCTCGGGGGAATGCCTTTTCACCTACACACAGAAACGGATGCACTTAGTGTAATACAGCTGACAGGAGGCCTGTGTGTGCCGCATTCATGAGCTTTCATAGCCTTTCTGACCAAGCAGAAGGTAAGTCCCATATCAGAAATACACTATCAAAAGAAAGAGGCAAAAGGGAAGGAGCAGAAGGTGAGCTGGTCCGGACAAAATATCTACCATATTTTTATCACTGAAGAGCCTGTATCCCTGGCATAACAATGAATGGACTGGAGTGCTACAGAGGGAGAGTTAGTGGGAGGTCAAGACCCCCTCCGAGCAGCTGGCTGGGAGGCAGGGGCAGAAGGGAGACCCTCGCCCACCTCACAGCTTCATTAGCCCCACATTATGCAGTACGAGGCGATCAGTTACTCAACAGAGGGCTCCCAGCTGACGCGATTAGCTTGGTGGATTGCTGAAATGCCTTTAGAGGCAAGTCTGAAGGAGAGAATCCCTGCTCTGAGAAGAATGAACAACGAGGGTAGGGCAGGACACGGGGGACAAAGGGCGAGAGCTGCAGAAAAGCACTGACGTAACACAAATGCTCATAAACACACACTGGATGATTAGTGTGTCATGACACTGGGTTCTAAATCTGCCATTGTGGTTCAGTAAAAAACGCAAACACACAAATATGATAAATAACCCGAGACAGGAGGAGAAAGGATGCAAGGCCATCCAGTAACAGTATGAATATAATCAGTCAGTGTGATACAACGTTCCTATACATACTCAGAGTCCGGACAAAATGTCCATTTCATCACTCTGCTGTATTTAAGTAAGCTGTAAAAGTGCCTTTAAGTGCCCTCAGAGGAATCTCCATCATGAAACCTAGCATAAAAAAAACGATGTGTTTATTACCCAAGTCTCCCTTTCAAAGTCACATCTCAAGATACATGCAGCTCTAATGAATACAGGATGTCATAGATGAGTCAGACAATACCAAAGTCCATATTCATGACTCAACTGGTACAGAAGTTGACATTTATTGGAGTCTTTGGACTTGTGAAAGTGGTTTAAGGCTTTGCGTCTGAAATGAAGCAGCATATTCAAACGGTGACTGATAGCTGCATTAATTGCTACCGAGCTGTTGTTGGGAGAGTGATTGGGATAAGGATGCTAACTGCAGTGTTAGGAGGAACACGCTTTGTGTGATTTGATTACAGCGCAGAGCATCAGAAAATGTTTTGAAAAACAAACACACACAATAATAAATAAAAAAAACACTGAGCCACACAAACAACTGGCTGGAGAAAGGTATGAGCAGATCAAAGCCGCTCTTAGATTGAGGTTGTGTGAAAGCATTTTGCCAAGGTAGACTTTACCTTTAATGATAGCTTTGGAATTGAATTGAAGTTGGCAGTGGGCCATGTGGGAGTTAAGCTGGTTGTGGTACAGAAGCCTAAAAATTGCACTGTGTGTGTGTGTGTGTATATGTGTGTGTGAAACCAAGAAGAAGAAAAGAACAGATTGAGAGAGAGAGGCGGGAGTACAGCTAATGGTTACAAAATAAAAATCAAACAAACTTACGATGTGAGGTGAA